CCCCTTAAAAAAACCCCCCTTTTTACCCTTTCCCCTTTAAAAAAAAAAAAAAAAAAAAAAAAAAAAGAAATCAGCTGTTTGAAAATATTTCTGTCACAAACTATTTAGCAAGTTAAGTTTGAAAACTAAAGGCGCCTGCCTACTCCAGGCAGGATCATTACTAACTGCAAAGCAGGGCTCCACTTTAAAAGAAGAACAAATAAAAAAAAAAAAATGTAACAGTCCCTTTAAAAAGTAGCAGTCACGCAGGTGGTGGAGAGATGAGGTGGATAATTTGCACACACTTACATTTTTATATTGCACCCAAACTATAATAAACATACACATTTTGGCCTCTTTTAAATGCATAAACTACTTTTTAAGTATAGTTCCAGTCTACGTGAGAGGCCTTGGAGTCTTCCAAAAACACTTTCTCTCGTAAAACCTGATAATGTAGTCATAAATACCGCAAGCCACAGAGAGATACTTAAAGCTTGAACTGTAATTTCCGAAAGCGATCAAGTGCCTTGATGATACCTCCTGTTAATTGCATTGAGAGCATCATGTTGAGCTTATTAAATAAGAATCTTGTACATCTCATTCAGTTCAGTCTTTATATTACCATATTTTTAAAAGGTGTCAATATACAGCACACTGATAAATTAGGGGAAACTGGCAACTTTGTTGATGAAATAAATATCTTATTAAATCATAAAAAAAATAATAAAAAAAACACTGATATTGGTAACAATCCAGATCTGATAATCACCACTGCATGGTCTTCTTTAAGAGCCTTCTACTTGTAAATATACGGAGAAACCAATGGAAATCTGGCAGTAAGACCAGTGAATGCCACTACACCTCAGGCCCATTTGAGAGCTAGTGAGAGGAAGAAGCTGCTATTAAGCGAAGGCATCCAAATTGAGTGGTGATTAGAGCGCAAGAGCAAGCAGGGAGTCTTGGGCAGAATACTTACTAGCTGGCGGTGCCATAACCTCTTGCTCTGGTGAAACCCACCGACACTGCAACAACAAGGGCTGGAAGACCTGCAGACAAACACACGCACACACACACACACGCGAGGAGAGAGAAAAAGATCAAACGGCTGAGACAAAAGGATGAAAGGAAGCTTGGATGGTGATGGGACACATTGGCACAAGAGACAGTGAGAAGAACAACTCTGACTCTACCAACTAAATGCAAAGCTTGCTTTGCAACAGAACGTAACACGTGAACGGGTGACTGAGGCCGATTTGATTTTGTGTTGTGCATATGCTCCCTTAAAAAAACACTAATAGTCACGGCAATGTGTCTACACGCGTGCCATTTGCACCTTTTCAACATTTCATCACTTTGAAAAAGAAAATTCTTTACGTAGTTTCAAAAAATTGCTTTTAAATCAAATTTTGTGTGGTGTGCATAGACGAAAAGTTGCGAAATATTTGGCAAAAAAAAAAAAAAACCCAACAACATTCCATATATCGTGCAGCTCAATCTGTCTCTGTAAATGAAAAAAAAAAAAAAGCGTGACTGTTGCCGATTGCCTGCGTACAAAAAGAAGGAACATCGCGGCACCCGTAATGAGTTTGGCTCTGAAATATTCTCGTAATTAACAAAGCTGTGATTATGGCTGGTAATGAAAAGCAATTAGAAAAAGTCACATTAACTTTAACAAATAAGATGGTTGAGAGCCAAGCCTGTCCACCAAGCAGCCTGCACCGAGTCTCAGTTAGTCAACAACATCAATCTGCCGTTTACTTGTATAATGCAGTGAACACACAAACACACACACAAACACACACCTATGCATATACGTATCTGGCTCCGACCCAAATCCAGTTACACCCTAAAAATCTCCTTTCTCCTTGGCAACAGATTTCAATCGCATAATTTGCTGGGAAAATTGCAAAACGGACGGAAGGAGGATAACACGTTTGATCCTCTCCGTTCTACCCAACTGTTTCATGCGTTTCATGTGCATCTATGAGTGTGTTGGAGGAACGTGCAGCAGCCACCAGCCCCCCCCCCCCTCTCTGTGTGTGTCAGTATCTCCTCATCTGTGACTGTAGAGCAGTCTATACATTCTCTGCCTCTATCAGGTAAGGGCATCAGTGACTTGGCAGATTAGACTGCTGGGATCAATACTGAGTGAAATGAGCAGATTGTGTCCGTGTGGGTGTGTGTGTAGTGGATGGTGCAGTGCTGTAATTTCCAGGCCTATCTTGAAGCATCTCCCCCGTGTTGTGCAGATGTTATCATATCTTTTGATTATACACCGAACATTCTCCGTCCATGTTGCACCTGGTTGTACAATGCCGAGGAGACGGCATAATGGAGTAACATGGAAGGTGAACGGAAAAGGTGGCGTACGGATGAATAGCGGCAGTGTGCGCTCTCAGTGAGCAGCCTGTCTTTTCTTGGTGTGTATGAATAAGGAAAACGCATTAGGAAGTGTAAATATGGCTTTTGGGACATAAAGCAGTAAATAATTGCTTATAGAGCCGTCGAATAGTGTATAATGAGAATGCAGGGAATGAAGATTGTTAAGCATAATACGGGCAACAATTTCAACACTGCAAGATAATAAGCGGTTACATTTCCATTCTGAAACAAGCCGGTCTTGCTGCCCTCCATCACTAATGCACCTCACATAAGACTGCTTCAATCAGCAACCAATTCAGAAAACTGTAATTATTTGCAGTGGGACTCAGGGGCAGGATAGAAGTCCACTAAAAGTAACAAGAGAAAGTTTTGTTATTTACAAAAGTCCGTGGTGAAAGTGCCGTCGAGTATGTTCTGGAATAGTGGACGCTTATTTAGCTTTCTGAAATAGATTGGTTCTATCAAGCAGCAACTCCCAACTACTGAAACTCAAAGAGAAAAAAAAATAAACTGCTCTTCTCGTTGCTATTTCGGCCAAGCTCTAAAAATTAAGAGCTTGTGCCCCTTCAAGAATGTCAATGTCCAAATCTTAGGAAAAATTAAGCCTGGTAGTTAAACAATAAAAATCCCCATAGAAAATGACAGATAAGCTTGAAACATCTCAAAGCAATTCTAATTCTAGTCATAGTTATGACGGGATGGTCCTTTGAAGGTCCTCATATTTTCCCCATATTACAGCTAAAAACTGTAACGTATTTCCAATTAACCAACACAATGAAAAAGACTTTAGTCAGATGAAACCAAGATTCACATGTTTGACTTAAAATGCAAGATGATTGAACACTGATGCTGCATATCACCCCATCATCCTGAGGCAGTATCATCAAAACTTCAGGTAAGATGAGCTTTCGATCAGTTGTGATCACACCAACATGCAAGTATGTTCAGAAATAGGTTTGGTCTTTCAGATTGAAAGCTAGCTATTTAAAAAGGCTGCTATGAACGCTGCAGTTCATTGAACAACCCGCGTCTGTGCTTGTTGTATCTTCAACATGAGCAACTGCATGCATATTTCATAGACGTTTGTTTCATGGCGAGCAGGCATCAGGAGTCAAAACGCAATCCCAAACGAGGTTCTGACAAATGTATAATGTGAAATGGATCGAGCATGTGTATACTTACCCCAGCCGAGGCACAGAAAACGCTTGCGAATGATGCGTGACCTTGTTTTGCCAATGACAGCCAGGTAGGACTGCCATGCCTCAGTCAGCACCCAGCAGAAGGACGCCAAGAAAAAGAAATGCAGGAAAGCAGCAGTCACAGTACACAGCCCCTGCAGCAAAGCGAGAAGTAAGCAAGAACTTAAAGCAAGAAAAAAAAAAAAAAAAAAAAAAAACTGAGATACCTTACAAAATACACAGATGCATAGATAAACTAGTAAAGGCATCAAATAAGAAGAAAACAAGTGAAACTTCCACAGAACAAAACAGCAGGTAATCGAAAACGGCAATCTAATCAAGAACACTCTTTGTTCTTTAATGTTGAAGGTGGCTTTGCTGTGTTCTTCAGCTAGATCGATCCTGACTGCCACACGGTGAAGGCTTGCTTAGTCAGACGGCTCAGAGGGGTTTGCCAAAAATGTCAGCATGCTGCTTTGAAACCTCCACTGTATTAAGCTGTAAATCCTGTAAGCTGTTTTTTTTTTTTGTTTTGTTTTCAAAGCTACTAAAATAGGCAATTTGAATTTGTGACCATCATAGATAAAGGTCTGTAAAAACAATATATATATATATATATATATACATATATATATATATATATATGTATGTATGTCTTGAAAAGTGTGCTTTACCTTGTTGAGTGTTTGAGATTGTCCTAGCAGAATCAGTAAATTGGAGGCCAGGATGGAGAAGCAGAAGTTGACCAAGATGATCGATCTCTCTGACCGGATGTACCTTAGGAGCAGAAGATTAGAAAGATTTAAAAAGTCACATTCAAAGCCCTATAGATCTTTTTTTTTCTCTCTCTCTTTTCCAAGACAGCTTAGTCATCAGATTGATTTTGGCATCTGTAAAGAGTATTAGTAAAAGACAAATACAGGAACCAAAGGAGGGAAAAGCCAGTCACCAACCCCCTCTGCTGTAACTGAATTATTTTGTTCTTTATTAGGCCTCGATGTTTTTTTTTGTTTGTTTTTTTTTTGTTTTGCCGCCATAGCTGATGGACACAAATTAAGCTTTATTTTTTTTTTTCCAATTTGCACTGGCAGAAGCGTGAAAAGAACATTAGCATTGTGCGAACAGGGAATGTATAAAATACAGATATCAGTGTCACACTATTAAATGTGTGTGCATGCAGTCACCTCCAAAAGGCAGCGTAGATGAGCAGCAGGATGAGGAGAGCAGTGCAGGACACTCCGCAGCCCACCATGAGGGGCACTGAGGGCATGCTGGTAGGACCCATGTCCTGAAACACAAGGTCAGAGGAGAAGGCTGGTTAATTGTTACCGCGTCAGTTTGTCCTACTTTGGTCAACAGAGAATGAAGGCCCGGCTCATTTTACAAGCACATCTCAATAAATTAGTGTATGATGGGAAGGTTCATTTGTTTCAGTAAATTAATTCAGAAAATGGAGCTCAAAAATTCATTATACACAACGTGATGTATTTCTAGCATGTACTTTAGATCATTTCGATGAATAGAGCTGTACAGAGAGTGAAAATCCAATAATATGTCGTCCTACAGGGCATGTTAGTCGCACTCCACATCATCTGATGTCCCCAACACTCTAGTATGGACTTTGCTTCACTACCAAAGAGGTTAGTGTTGCTTGTGCACATTCTGCTTACCCTTCTTGCAGAGGATGTCGATAACTATTTGCCAGACGACTGTGGAGTTAGCGGTACTGCCCACAAAAATGTAGGCTGAAATTATTTCTTTCAAATTGCCTTTATGCAATGTTTAAAACTTCCGATTGATCAAAAATTGCGTTTCTATTTGCACACCAGATGGAAACGCAAAATGTTAATGCATGTTTAAAAATAACCAAACAAATACGTTTGTTTAATGTTATTCCAACGGGGTGAGATGCAACTGCACAACACAAAGACACAGGAAGACAGAAAAAGAGATGAAAACATGGCACCCTCATTTTTATGGAATCTTATTTAAATGAAAAATGGACTAAATTAAAATTGCAGACAGATTAAGAGACGGTTTCTTTGCTACGAAATAACAAATTGGTTGGTATATCATCTGTTATGCAAAAATATGCAAACAAATCTTAATGTTTTGATATTAGAGCAGAGGGATAAAAATTTAAAGTGAGGATTAAAAAATAGTGATGAAGGTAAAATATCTAGAACAGAACAAAGTCCAAACTCAAAGCAAAATCTGATAAAGTCCAAAAATGGATGGACTTCATCAAAAGGAACTGATGCAGATAGATGGAGCATCACATTTAAACAGGTGATAGAGCAAAAGGTCTAAATTAACCGTTTTACAGTAAAAAACAAACAAGCAACCACTGCATAAAAGTGGAGCTTGAGCTTCCCAACATGAGTTTATGATTGATATTTTTGTTGCTGTTGCCTTTTCTCAAAGCTAGTAGCAATAAAAAAATCACAATACATTGCAACATTGGTTATAATTGTTTTTTGATTGCTTTGCAGAGCAAAGCATGCAACACATTAATTTTACTCTATTACCTCAAGAAGACATTGGTAAAGATGATGGAAGGACGGACAGAGGGATGGATAGATGGATTCGCGCTCTGCTGATATTTATTCATCCAGATGAATGGAGTCCTAATTCCCTTGCTGCCCACACCAGGATTCTTTATTTAGTCCATTCATCTGGAAGTTGTCAATGACTTCAGACATGTTGACCCAACTTCCTTCCTCATAAAGGTCTTGGAGATACCGTCAGACACCTTCTTTAACGATGCCGGGGTCATTTGCACAAAGCAAATGACCACGAGGATTCCTTTCTGTTTTAATTTATCACATTCTGACAAAACTATGAAATACTATAGAATCTGCAGGGGGCACATGTTCATCAAACCTGACAAACGGCCCACAGTTTGTGAGGTTGTTTGACCAGGCGGTCAGCAGCACAGGAGCACCACAGGGGACTGTACTCTCACCATTCCTTTTCATTCATTACAGGTCAGACTTTTAGAATCCCGTCATCTACAGAATTTATCAGATGACTCAGCAAAATGAGCATTAATCAGTCAATACTGTTATCACAAATTGGACAAAAAAATACATGTTTTTTGAAACCGGAATGGACGGACAGAGAGACCGATAAGTCTCGTCAGGCTTCCAAATTACTGCCTTGCCTTTACAGCCTCTATTAACTCTTCCAGTCCCTGAGTTTTAATCCTTTTAACGGCTCCTGCAAATTACAGGCAATTACCTTTAATTAGAATTACAAGAGTGTGTTACAATGAATGGAGTTGGATAATGACATGCAATTACACTTCTCCAAAAGTTGTTCCTTTATTAAAAGTACAAGCAACCATCTTGACCAATGTGTTATACCCTATAGAAAATGTGGTGCGCCTATGTGCATGGACACTGATGATTTCAATTTACTGCTGATTACAATGACATGAAGACACACTTTTTCCTAACAGTCATCGCCATGTAAGAATCTTGTAAAAAGCTTTGTGTCCCTTTTTGTGTACCTAAATTATTTTTTTTTTCTGTCTGTGTTAAAGGGTTTAATACAACTTGAAGATTAAGAACAATAAAGCAATTCATAAAATGTTTTTTCAGCAAAATTTTGCTCTCAATAAGCATCTTCGAAAGGATGAAAAGTCAGACACATTTATCTACATGTAAATCCTAAACCCTACTCGTACCCAAATGGGCTTTATATTTGTTCGGCTTAAGATTTCAGTCACACAGTTACGCTTAAGATACAGTGCTTTGGATTAAAAAAAAAAAAAAAAACATGAAACGTCTTAACCATTGAATTTAATTGAAAACATACTCGTCTAAGCAGATGCACCTAACTGAAAAATGTGCAGGAATCTGTCTTCCCAAAGATGAGTAGAACTCACAAGTCTGATGCAAGAAAGGGGACCTCTTTACTTTTTTAGAAAGGAGCCAAGAATGCAACCTAAAAAGAACAGTGAAGAAATTCACAGGGAGATGGAGCAGGAAGAGTTAAAGACAAGTACGTGAAAGGAATGAGGGGGATAGGGAAGGAGAAGAAAAAGCAACAGAAAGTCAAAGCTTCCCTTTTAGTTTTTTTTTTTTTTTTTTCCTGGCCCATCAAAGGAAGCCAATTTCTCCAGAGGAAAGTGGAATAGGTTGGAATACCAATACAGCATACACACAAAAACACACAAGTGGGAGAACGGAGGTGAAACATAATCAAAACCGTCTCACAAGAAAAGAGAGCCACGAAAGAAACGAAAGGGGGCATATGAAAAGCATCTGCTTCGGGAAATTGGGAAATGCCAAGGGGAGAGGGAGAAACAAGAGAGAATAATTGTGTTTGATTTTATGTAGAGAAGAAGGTCAAAATGCCTTTTACAAATCCGACAGATCAGACCGTCAACGCATGTTGAATGAAAAGTGTGCAGTGCCCAGTGAGTGTATCAGTTTCCCTGTAAAGGTCCCCTTACCCCCACATTTTTGTCATATTAGGCAACACCAACTTGAACAAACTTAATTGAATTTAAATTAGAGAGGAACTGTAGTGAATTAGTGAAAAGGGGGGAGGAAAAATCCAAATAAAAATCTAAAAAGTTTGCTGCATATGTAGTCAAAGAAAAAAAAAATACTTGAATGTCATAATCCCAGTATCCAGTTTAGGCAGCATTAGGGAGACCAAGGAATACACCACACAGATCAATGATAATATTATGGAAAGGTTTAAAGCAGGGCTATAAAAGAATATCCCAAACTCTGAATATTCCAAATGAATTTAATTCAACATTTGAAAACAGAAAAGTATGACAAACCAAGACATGGTCATCCACCTAAACTGACAGGCTGTGGAAGGAAAGCAGAAATGTGACAGAGATGTACGGTTACTCTAGAGAAGCTGCAGAGATCAATAGCTCGGGTGAGAGAATCTGTAGCTATGCACTCCACAAACCCTACCTTTGTGGAAGACTGCCTAGAAGAAGTCATTACGAGAATCCATTAAGTCCTTTTCATCGTTTGCAAACAGGATAAACCATATGGACGGAACAAAGGCACCAGAAGAAACTCTGGTCAGATGAGACCAAAACAAACATTTTTGGTCTAAATGTAAAGCTTTGTGCGATATAAAACTAACACTGCACACCTCTTTAAAACATGGTGAGACATAGTGCTAACTACATCATGCTGTGGGGATGCTTTTCTAGGGAACTTGGTTAGAAATAACAGTAGGTTGGGTAAATAAATACTGGGACAAAACCCAGTCCAAGCACACAAAGTACTTATAGGACAGTGAGGGAAGTTCATCTTTCAGTAGAACAACAACTCTAAACATTCAGTCCAAGCCAAAGTGGAAAAGGTTGTCAAATGTGTTGAGATGTCCCAGTCAAAGTCCAGACACCAATCCAAAGGATAATCTGGAGCTTGAAACTACTGTGAAATGTGGTTCTACAAAGTACTCGCACAGCGTGCTAGAAAACATAGGCACGCTAAACTGTTAAGTTTTTCATTTAGCAAAAAATGTTAAAAAAATAGTTCAAACCATGAATTACTTTCTTTTCACTTCACAATTCTGCACCACTTTCAGTTGTTCCATCATAAAAAAGAAACACAAAGACATTAGTTAGCAATTGCAGTAAATACAGGAAAAATTCTAGGAGTATAGATACTTTTTTAAAAAGTGCTTAAATATGCACTTTAGAGATCCCCTTTTTTAAAACGTTAGCGTTTCTGAGATGCCACACTTTACTGTATTCAAAGCACGTTAGGAGATGGTCTTAGGACTCCTCATAGTTCTTTGGTTGCAATGTAAAACAGGCATGCATAAACCGTACATCAAAAATGAGATTCAATGTATAGTATAATGTGATGATGTAAGAAAACTGGTACAAAAAAAAAAAGTAAATAAATGGAAACAGATTACCCACACAAAACCTGAAGGCCTGAGGCTTCTTTCTGCCACACAAATGTTATGCCCTTAAAGGAAACCGTGATAATACATCGCTGCTGGTCAGAATGTATGACCGTGAAACACAGTGACTACAGATTAGTGCGAGAGTGTTGAGGTTCTGCTGTATATGGCCAGTTCCCCCTGGGCAGCTTGGAAACCATTTGATGGAAAAGATAGCTATTTTCAGCTCAGGAAGTTTAACCTACTTATCTCCTCTCTCTGAGACTTCTTCTCTCTTCTTTCCCACCCATTCCGCCGTACCAGCCTCTCCGTTTCCGTCTCTGCCTCTCTAGGTTGCTCATCCCATTCCCCTTACATCTTTCTTCCTCAATACTCCATCAGCATGTCTTACACGTC